AAATACACACACACACACTGGAGATCTAGTATGAGACAGAGAGAGGAGCAGGAAAAATTGAATGGAATATTGGCTGATTATCTCCCCAAATTTGATAAAAAAACAGCAATCCAGGGATTTACAAAGTTTAGCAAACCCTAGCAAAATAAATAAAAGAAAATTACACCTTATGTAAGGTGCATCTTATGCACATTATACTGAACTGTTAAAAACCACAGATGGAAAAAAACTTTTAAAATCAGCCACAGATACAGCACCTATGGCATAGAGGGTACAAGAATGAAAACCATGGTTAACCTCTTATCAGGAACACAGGCCAGAAAAAAATGGAATGACATATTTAAAGAGCTAAAAGAAAAGTACTGTCAAGCTAGAATGTTATGTATAACTAAAATATCTTTGAAAAAACAAGGACAAAATAAACACATTTTCAGCAAACAAAAGATGATCAGATCACCCACAGACTTGTACTGCAAGAAATGCTGAAGGAGGATCTTCAGGCTGCAATGAAGTGATACCAGACTGAAATTCATACGGACAAGAAGGAATGGAAGGTACAGGGAACAAAAGTATGCAGGTAATGATTTTTTTTTCTTTTAACGTTTAAAAAATGGACCATTCCAGGCAACAGCGACACTGTGTGCTCTTGGGTTCACACCATTAGAAATATACCGCATGACAACCAACGGGAGGTGTGTCAACGGAATGACATCACTGTGAGGCTCCGGCCTTCTCTAGAAGTGGTTTTAGTATGGACCTAAGGTAGATACTGACATATGAAGGACATATACTGTGACTCCTGAGCAAGCACTAGAAAAGCAATACGAGGAAGAACAGTACAGAGCATGCCATTCTTCCCTTCCTCCCCACAGCCCAGCCACCCAGGAATCCAGCCAGCACCACCAGGATGTGGGGTCCCACTCCAGCACTACTGCACCCCTGCATCCACATTGCCAGTGCTAGTCCACTAGAGGTGCTTTGTAAGCATTTGCTGAATGCATGGACCAGGCCATGTTCTCAGCTCCAGGCAGGGGTGCAGTTCTGTTCCCCCACCAGCAGTCAGCCCCAGCCCCACTCCCCGCTATCCTGGCCTGCAAACCTCTCATTCCCTGCACTGTACAGATGGCTTAGGGGTCAGATGGCAGAAAAGTGCAAGTGGGCAAATGCTTCACCGCCCCTCACCTGGATAAATCATCAGACACAACGGAGCTGGAGCCCAGCCATAAAGGCCGCTGCGGCCTCTTTGGATTAAAAGTCCCTAGACTGCTAATTACCCAAGAAGCCCTGGAGGCCACAGCCCCTGGGAGCAACAAAGGCCAGATAGATTACTGTGCGGTTTCAACTAACCTCCCAGCTCTGTGGTCCTGAGTGATTCACCTCCGCTCCTCATTAGAGGAGCCGCCAGGATGAACTGCCCCTAGGTCTGGGGTTTGAGGCTCTGCCATGATTGACACCATGGGAGCTGCACAGCCAAGCTCCTGCCCAGGGCCCAGCTGGCTGGGCCCTGAACACCTGCTCCTGTTTCTTCTGCTGCATCCTTGAGGTCTTGCAGACAAGGATGCCGAGACAACCACCGCCATGGCTCAGGGCAGGATGAGAACAAGGAGGTCAGTGTTTTCTGTGTGCAAAACAGTGATGCTGCCTGGCTACAATTCTGGAGAGTTACCGGGCAGAGATCTCCTAACTGGGACCACTCAAGGATCACCTCTGTGCCACTGGCCCCATCCAGGCACCAAACCACCGCCTACTTAATATTCTGTATTACACTGACTTGCTCTTGACAGAAATGGATTTTGAAAGGATGCTTCAGCACCGACAAGGAGAGTCTGGTACCATGTGCCCTAATTGGCAGGTGGGAAGCCAATGCCTGGCCAGTTAGGCCCCAGGTGTCCCCTCCAGTCAAGGACCTTGCCAGGGAAAAGCCTCCTGGAAGAGGCAGAGCCAGGTTTGAACCCCAACTCTGGCAGCTGCAAACTGTGACTTTGGGCAAGTCACCAGCTGTCTGAGGGAGAGCTTGCTCCCTGTGGCACCAGTCACTGACTCGCCACAGGGTGGTGGGGCTTCAGTACAACGGATATGCCCTGTCGTCAAGCACAAGGACTTGAGAGACCAAGGGGGCAGCCTCTGTGGCCAGCCCAGCCTCTCCCGACCTGTGCCTTGCCAAAGTTGTCTCCCCCACTGGACCCAGGGCTGCGGGAAGGGTGCATCATGTCTTCCAAAGTGCCATGGAAACTGCTTCTTGAGTTAGAGCCCTGCCGACAAGAAGTCAGCCAGGAGCTGGGTCAGCCCACCATTCACCCGATTCTAATGTGCTTCCCTATGAGCTGCCTCTTCCTGACAACAGCACCTACTGGAAATTCTCCCCAGGGAGGTGCCGGCCAGACCTGAGCTGGAGGCAAGACACACTCTCAGCCTCCCCATGCTGGGCTGGCCCCCCAGCATAGGGTTCTCCCTGGGTTTGCTGTGGCAGCTGTGCCCCTGTGAGGCGACTCTCAGTGGGCAGTCACCCAGGAGCAGAGCTGAGAGGGAAGGGACAGGAGTATCACCTTCTAATCCCCTCGGGGGGGGGGGGGGTGACAGCTCTTTATGGGGAGAAGTGGATGGGGGGTCACCTCAGAGGTAGGAGTGAACCCCTGCTGTACAGGGACACAGAGCAGGTGGAGGAAGAGAGGCTGGAGGGCTTGTGGAAGATGTGCCACCTGAGTGGCCACTCCCCTGCCCACCCTCCAAGCCCCCTCCTCTGGGAGTCTTACCCCCCCAGCCCCACATACTCTGGCCTCAGCCAGGCCGCCATGGTTAGCAGTCCTCTGGCCACACCCTCCCGTGGACACATGCACACTGTGATGCCGCAGCAAGGGTAAGGCTGCACGTGACCATGGACTCTAGGCAGGGGCGCAGTGGTACTGGTGGCCGTTAAGAAGTACCTGGAAGCAAGAGGTTGGATCCGGGTGACATGGCCCACTCAGGCCATTTCTGCTATCCTGAGTGGTGTGTGGGGAGTCAACAGTGTGTCAAGTCTCCTCTCAGTATAGTGCCCTGCCTGGTAGGACCCACAGTCACTCACCTGAGGAAAGGTGGCACCAAGGCACCCGAGGAGAGCTGATGTCACCTGACACCCCTCCTGACCCCAAACAAGACCTGTGACTGAGGATGGGTCCTTGGGGCTTTTCAGGGCAAACCGTCCATCTCAAGACTTAGCAGCACAGCTCATTTCCCTGAGGGCCAGTCCACCAGAGCCCAGGACAGGGTCCAGGTGCACAGACAGCAGATCCAGGCTGCCACGGCTGCCACAGTCTCTCTCTCTCTCTCTCTCTCTCTTTTGAAAGCTAAAGCAGATGCTAGGCTGGCCACCTGGAGCTGCGTGCCCTGGAAGGGCAGTCCCAGGGCTCACACTTCACCCCTTAGGAGGAACTTCTCCTTCAAGACAAGGGGAAGGGAGTCTGATCCCAAGGCAGAGAGGCCAGGGGGCTTGTCTTGATGGGTATCATCCCAGCCACACCATGGAAACCTCAGCTCACTGGTGTCGTACTGATGAAGACACCTGATCTCTGTAGCTGAGGTCAGAGGCGAGGAGACTACAGGCCCAGCACGGGCTAACCCAGCTCAGGGCCACCACGGACCCAGGCCTTTCTCTTTCTGCTCGGCCAGCCACAGATTCCTACACCAGGCATCCCCCGCAAAAGTGGCAGCAGGGGCTCCGCAGCAGGCCCCTCACACCTTGCTGGCCAGAGCTACTCCACCTGCACAGGCCAATCGTGGCCCAAGTGGCACACTGCAGCCACTTGCCCCAGCTGGGACTTCGTCCCCAGAGCCTCCTGTGAGGGAGAGGTTCGGGGGTGGGAAAAACCATGTCCAGCACATGGGGCTAGGCAGGCAGGCACACTCCCCAGACCCCACTTCACCAGCTCAGCCGGCCCTGGAGGATGGCAGAAACCAGGTGCTATGCCAAGCTGCAATGCCTCTCAGGGAAAGGAATGAGTTCATTCTTGGTGCCCCAAGAGAAGACTGCACCACAGAAAGGTCACCGGGGTATGCGGCAAATGAAGGGCATGACAATGTACATTGACGGGACCTTTTAGTAAAACTGTAAAAATAATTTTAAACAGAAGCACATAGGATATTTTTTCCAGAATCAAAAGAACTGCTAACAGTACTTCTGGGGAGATGATCTAGTAGGGAGGGGCAGGAGGCGGGGAGTGCTTTCTGTATCATTTAGATTTTCTGGCTTTGTTGTGTATCACTTAGGATTCTTTTCCACGTCACCTAAAGTGACCTAGGTAAAGAGATTATGGGTGTTTTGTTCTCTGAACTAAAAATAACCTGCACACATAAGTGTGACAGCTTTTACAAAATACCAGTCTAGTGATTAGCACCCAGAGCAGGTGGGTTTCCAGTACAGCCAGGATTTGGCGGCACCAGCTGCGCTCCTGCAGGCAGGGTAAGTCAGCTATCACACACTGAGGCAAGCAGGAAGAGGCAGGCCCCCTACAGGGGCCAGGTGGTCCAGGCACTTTTGCCACCTTCATCACAATGAGATGCTACCAAGAACTCCTGTGCTCTTTCTGGAATAAAGATCCCGAACGCAAGTGTGACCTCATTTACAACACAGACCCTACACTCTGACGGGGCTGGCGGCGGGAGGAATTTCAGCTTCTGTCCTGTCTGGTGTTCATATAATGAATGAGTCACGTCATGGGGGCAATCTGGAGGAAGTTACCCCAACCAGCGGAGTCTGCACTTGTCAGAGGAGCTGAGCGCTGGGCCCCCACACCAGGCTCTGCTTACAGGGTGGGAGCAGCTCACAGAATCTGCTTCTTCTTCTTGGGGTTCCGGGGCAGCCGAAGCTCCGCAGGCCCATGGGCAAACGGGCAGCTGTCTGAAGGCAGAACACAACCATCAGGGTGGTGACTGAAAAACCAGCAGATACGGGTTTTGAAAGCTTCTGAGAACAGTCTCCGCTTTGCTTCCGGGTGCTGCTGCCTCTGTAGTTGCTCTTCTCTCCAGTCACGAATGTGAACTCGCCCATTCAGAACTGTGGTTCGGAACAAAGAGAAGACATGGCTCAGGCGTTATTCTCCAAGTCCACCCACTCATAGAGCTGGGGAAGCCCCGACTCTGGGGCAGCAGCACCCAGCAGGATGGAGACAAGGGCAGAGACCTCAGTCACGGCTGCACTGCCCTGACAACCCCTGACACCTCAGTCCCTTCATGCCAGAAGGGTGGGCTCTGGGGGAGGCAGAGTCAGAGCCTCAGCCTGGTGGGAGGGAGGCCGGCGGGGCAGGCAGGGGCAGGGTGGAGGTGTGCCAGGGCCAGGAGCCCTGAAGGGCCAGCATTAGGGGCCGTAAGGAGGCACACGTTGGACCCCAGGACGGAGGTGAAGAACCAAAGGTCTTGCTGACAAGACCGTGGACAAGTGGCTGCAGCCGCACCATGACGGGCCTGTGGGAAACAACGCTGAGAGCCTGGGAGACCCCGGCATAAGACCTGCATGGACTTGGGTACAGCTGTAGAAGCTGCAGTGGCGCCTGTCCTGGGGAACCTCACCTTTGCATCGAAGAGAAACAAGCACAGGTCCTTTCTGGGCAGGCCAAGAGGAGGGTTTACTGTCCCTCGACCCCCAGCCAGAGCCCCCAAACACAAGTAGTGGGCAGGGAGTACAGCAGCCCCGTCAGCCCTGGGGATGCTGCAGGACATGGGGACTAGGGAGTAGGGCCCCAGCAGCAGACTGGGCCCTCCACCAAGCTGCCTCCTGAGATGGTAGCCCCCACTGGGGCTGAGACGCCCCCCAGGCTTTCACCTGGCCATTTGATCCCCAGAAGCCAGCAACTCCTCGGATATGTGGCCTGCTTTGGCCAAATCCATCCTGGTTTTCCCTGGAAGCTGTAAAACCACCCGGAGACAGACCGGCTCGGGGAGAAATAAAGGAAGCTTATTGAAGAAATCTGGCTCTCTAACTTCTGACGAGAACTTGAAAGCAATGAATTAAAGCTTGGATTTGCTTTCAAATGGCCTCGTGTCATGGCAATAACGAGATTGTTTGTCTCTGGAGACTGCCGCCTAGTAAACATTTCCCTTTTAATCAGAGGAGCTGCAGAGAGGCGCCTGATGCACGGAGGGCCACAATGGAAGGATTCATCATCACGGGAGGTCAGGAGGCACCTACTAACGGCCTGGCACAACTGTCACCCTCCTTGGAGCCGGCCTCCTGCACTGCTCCCCACAAGGCTGACGCCAAGCTTCCTCAGTCTGATAGCTCAGGTCAGGGAAATGTCACTGGGCTCCACTGGACGTTCCTGCGGCAGGATGACACGGCCTTGAAGTGTGTCTCGGAAGAGTCCCGAGGAGAGACACCCACCAGGTGACCAGGGTGTGCTCTTCAAAAAGGCAGGGAACCCTTGCCCCGCCCAAAGGCCTGGACATGTTCAAGAGAAACCCAGGGGAGAGGGAGCCTCCCACAAAAGCCTCCAAGGAGGGCCCCTCCTGGAGGACAGGCTGGCTGGCAGCAGGTCCTCCACAGTGGTCTCGAGTTAAGAGGGCACCTCACCACATGTCTGAAGCGGTAACTACAGGGTCAGGGGAAAGGGGGCCTGGGCACCAATGACACAGGATTGGCCGTGGCAGGGGGCGGTGACATGCTCCCACACACCTCCAGGTTCCAGGGCAGCTCCCATCCTGGGTAGGCCCGTGCTGGGACCTGAGGGCACAATACTCCAGCTCTACACACTCCAGCCCACTCATGGGTCAGGCCACCCAGTGGACTCTCCCCAGTGGGAATATGCTCCTGATTCTAAAATGGGATTACAGGAACCAAATATATTCTATCAAAGTTCACTTATCTGGTATTTCTGCTTCCTCCCAAAGTATGCACTCCTGCAGACTTGCTCAACATAGCACACAAAACCTGCTGGTCCGTTCCCCTCCCAATTCTGACAGCATATGAAACCTTGACCAAAGCACTCTGAGGAACAGCCTGTAAACTGTTCCAGGAAATCATGAGGGATAATTCACCAGAACAGTGCCCCGTGCTCAGGTTCTGGTCAGATGTGACCTGGGCTGCCAGTCCAGCCTCTCCATCTAGAGACTCTGGGCAAGTCCCCATCCCTCAGCTGTGGCCACATGTTCCCCATGGCTGGCATAGGCAATGAAGGCACTGTGGGTACAGACCCTGGGCCAGGCACCCCCACCGGAACCTCCCAGCCCCTGACCACAGCTTGCACAGGACCTTGCACTGGCCCGGGGAAGGGACTCAGTGCTGGCGGAACTGAGGGTATCCAAAATCGATTTTCCCTCCTCCGCCCTATAAACATGAGCAGAGACTAGCTGCTCTAGTGTAAAACACACTCAGAGGTAGGAGCAGCCTCAGAGCATAGTTTTTGCATGACTACAGCAGAATGTTTACTCAGAGCTCAGGCCCCCAGCCGCCTACTCAGAAGTTTCCAAAAATAAATGTGCCCCCCCCCTTGTGAACTGCACAGAAAAGCAATCACATACATGCATATTTATAATGGAAAAAAAAAAAGATACAATTTTGTGAAGTCAACCAAAAAAACATGCTGGGGAAAAAAGAGCAGCCCTTCTGGACTGCAATGAGTATATGAACTGACCGAGGCCTTGTGAACCGGAGAGCAGATCCCAGGCAGCCGTGCGGGAGCTCAACAGGAGTAGGAACTGCCAATTCAGGAAGGCTGCCCACCTCCCAGCTTCTCCACACCCCAGTGGAGGGCCTGCCTGCCTAGGCCCCGGCTCCTGCAACGGCCCCAAACCTGGAGATGCCAGTTCTGCTCACAGGGCTCAGGGCCATTCCAGGCACTTACCCAGCAAAACCGGGTTTAAATGAAAACAAAGTCTAACTCCACAAGGGCCACTGGGCCGCCCAAAGGCACTGCCAGTGTGCATATTCAAGCTCTCCCATGCACATGCAGGGCTGTGCACACCCAAGCTCTCCTGTCTCACATGCACACAGGGTCAGGGAAGAAGTGAGAGCACCCAACTCTCTTTGCTTTATAGGCTGGGAGTGGACAGATACACTTCTAGCCACTGTGGCCACCTGCCCTGAGGCACTGTCCAACCACTCTCCTCAGGAGCTGCACAACGGTAGGGGTGGGGGGACGGGCCCAAGTCCTGGGGCTCAGATAACTGCCAGCATCCCTAGACAAGGCCTGTGGGCTCCCTGTCCTCCTGTGTTGGGTTTTGCTCACAGGTGGCATCTCAGGGGTTGGGGACTCTGGGATGCAATGGTCTCCCTGTGAGGAGGGGTCTGGGAAGTGCGCCCTCCTCACTGGGCTGCTCCTCTGTCTTATCCTGTGACACAGGCTAAGCGACAAAGCAGTGGGCTCTGGGCTGCCAAGCAAGGCCTGGCCCCACCCGCAGGGAGCTCAGGGTCTCGTGGAGGCAGCGATGTGACCAAATGCAGGCGGCCGAGAGACAGCAGCACATGCAGATCCTGCGGACCCAGAGAGGCAGATGAAATGCTGTTTATGAAAGGTGTGCAGGCTGTGGTCTAGCACTATGGCTACACTACCAGCAGGGCTGCGGCACTGGGATGGGGGCAGGAGCCAGCAGGTAGTCTTACAGGACAGGAAAGAGCATCAGGAGTGGAACATAAGCCAAAGGGCCATGTGGGGAAGCTGGGGGGTTGGGGGGGGTACAAGGCAGACAGACAGCAGGCAATGGGCTCCAAGTGTGGCTCCTGAGGCAAGCCAGCGAGCAGCACGACCTCACAGGAGCCCGACTCAGCAGGTGAAGGGTGGGTCCAGGGGCAGGTCCGCAGCCCCTGCCAGCCTGGTCTCCTCTAGACCCCACGTTCTTAGCACATCTTTACGCACCACCAGCCAGAACCACCATGTGCACACTGAAATACCATCTGCACCCTTACACTCACCCTGCCCCTGCCTCCCAGAAAGAAGAGGTGCTCGGCACCGGTCCACAGCTGGCCTTCATCGGACACCTCCCAGTGGAAACAGAATAAAATGTGTTCCCACATATTACGTCCTAAGGAGTCAGATGCTGTGCTGTAGGGGGATTTGACAGGGCCCTGCACTTGACCCTGGAGGCCCCCGACACAGCAGAGAACAGGCATACAGTGACCCCGCAGCTGGACTGGAAGTCAGTCACATGGGTGCCACCACTCCCCTGCCATCACACAGACCCAAACCTCCTCACAGCCATGGGGAGACTGCAGGCCAGCCGCCTGCCTCCCCCTCCCCTCACTCCTCATGCCCCAATCCCACTCCTCCCCAACTCAGACCCATCACGAATGCTGTTCCTCTTCCTCTTTACCAAGTCCCAGCCCAGATGTCATTTCCCAAGTCTGGCCGTCCCAACCCCTTCCTGGGATGAGGGCAGATCTCCCTGCACATCATGACTTGGGTGGGAACATGCCTATGGCACTATGGTGATGCCAGAGGCCACCATCTTTAAAGCCATTTGCTGAAGTCTTAGGGGTGAAAAAGCTGGTGCGCTGGGATGTGCTCTAAAACACTTCCACAAAGAAAAGGAGGAAAAAGCTTCATCTTGAAGCAATATGACAAATTACCAACCATCTGGACGACAGGTGTCTGCTTAAAAACTCAAATAAAGGAACTTCTTTTAACCCCAGGTACCCCTGTAAACACTGGTTCTGTGTCTCCCTCCCCATAAGCCCCAGGAGGGCAGGGACGGACGAAGGGAATGAGCACAGGTTCCTGGGCCGCTCTACCTCCTGGCAGTCCTGGAAGCCCGAGCGTCAGTGCGGGAAGGGCATGAGAGCTGCGCTCCCAAGGGCCCAGTGCACGTATGCAGGGGAGGGGAGTGGACAGGCATTGGGGCTCCCTCCTCTAACTGCCCAGGGCCCAGATGTGAGCTCACGATGCTTCAGTCTGCAGACAGCCAAGAGCCCAAGCAAATAACAAACCCCCACCGAGAAAGTCCTCCAGCAACACCCAGCCAGACTTGCTCTTCCTTCCACCTGAGGCATAAGCATGTCCAGGACAGGGGTAAGGCCAGGCCCAGGGGTACCAGGCCTGATGGGGCTAGAAAGGACCAGAGAAAAGGTGTGGGCAATGTTCCCTCCTGGTAGAAGATGCTCACAAGGCAGAAGCGGGATAGGGGGCACTCTATCCTCTCCCCCCCACTTTTTTAAAAGTGTAAATCTCCTTGAAAGCAAACTTCACTTAGGGACACCTGGGTGGTCAGTTGGTTAAGTGACTTGTGGTTTCAGCTCAGGTTAGGATCTCAGGATCCTGGGATCGAGCCCAGAGTCAGGCTCTGTGCTCGGCAGGAAGCCTGCTGGAGAGTCTCCTCTCCCTCTGCCCTCACCCCTGCTCTCTTGCTCATGTTCTCGCTCTAAAATAAATAATTTTTTAAAAAAAATTAAAAATAAAGCAAACTTCACTTGACAGAAAAAGCAGGGAGCAGTGATTCCAGAATCTGTGGGGAAGAACATTCTGACATGGGAAGGTGGAACGTGTCACCCAGCTCTGAAAGAGGAGCACATTTCAAGGCCCGATCCCCTTACCTTCAAACACCTGATGGTTGTTTCTGAGCAGTGTCTGTAGGCCTCCACACTCCCGCTTCAACCTCTGCAGTGTCTCTGGGTCCAGCTCATTGGCCACTTCTGTCAAGGAGAGGCTTCCTGAAACCCGGGTTTCCCCAACAATAACAATGTAAAGGCCGTTAAGAGACTGTCCAACAAGCCCGCCCACTGCTTGGCCCAGGGACCAGTTCTCGTCCAGCCAACCCCAGTCTCTCACGCACGTCAGCAGGGCAGGCCGTGAGATTTACCTGCACTCTGAGCGAGCCCATACCACATAGCACCTAGCTGGAACTGCAGGGGCCAAGCCAGCACCATCTGGGATGCCAGGGACTTTGCATCTGCCAGGCCCCATGCCTGGGGGCTCACCTATGCCCACCCAGAGACTCTGTAAGCCAGCTGAGACACCCCTGCCTCCCAGACACAGACTCTAGAGGCCCAGCCCCAGACCCCCAGGGAGCAGCCACCCTGTGGCTGGGATTCCATCTACCAAGCCTAGCTGACCTTCAGGATGCACCTCTCAGCTGCCTCCACCACGTTCCAAGAGCAAGCAGCACATCTAAGGAAAAGGCTAAAACCGGCCCAGACAGCCGTCCTTGCCCCTCCTGGTCTGGCCCCACACAAGTCCCTGGACGCTGGTGCTCACACACACAGCTCTGCACTGCGACCTCCCAGGTGCTCATCCTCTGTCGTGTGTGTGTTGACTCAGTTGTGAGGGCAGGGACCACCTCCTCCTGCCCTGTGCTCCCTCACCCATGCCTTGCAGAGGGAAGACCCCTGGACTGAGATCACTGAGGTCCTGGGGACAGACCCACCCATACATTATATAAGGGCAGGTTTCAGACGGGTCACTAAATTCCAGCAACCAAAAGGTGGGAAGACCACCTGAGGGCAGGAGCCTGTGGGCACATGTCCACCGCACGAGAGCACCTCCGGCCAGCTCCGGGGCAACAAGACCCATGTGGGGAGGATGGCACCCCCCGCTCTGGGATGTTTCTCATGGGTGAGCAGGCCTGACACCTGAGACCTAATGATCAGAGCCACTCACATCTACGTCTGAGCCTAGAAGACCTGGTCTACCCTAGTGCAAGAAAGTTCTGTCCCAGGCACAGGCAAGCCCCTCCTGAGCTCAATCATTCCTGTGGTCTGAAGGTCAAACTCCACATTCTCAGACGCCCTCAAACGACTCTGAGGCGCCTGCTCACCTGCTGCGGGCTCCTTGGCACTCGAGGCCCCATTGGAAATCCCCCTCAGCTTGCCTTCCTCTCCACTTGGGCCCCACCTCAGCAGGAAGTGGGGTGCCAACCCACAGGGCAGCCCATGGTGCCTCAGGGTTGGTGCCCAGTTACACGTATGGTCAGGCCCCTGGAGTTGGGGGCTCTGGCCAGGGTTGCCCCTACATCCCTGGAGAGCCCCCACCTCCATCAGACACCACCAGCATCGGGTAATTCGCAGAGAAGGGGAGATGCTCCACAGCACTCCCGCGTGGCAAGTGCACGAGGGCTATGGAGGCTCAGGGCAGGACAGAATCATGGGTGGGGGAGGACAGGCTTGCCGCCTCCTCCTTGGCCCCCCACTCACAGGGCCAGCCAGGCAGCAGCCTTTGACAGGCTGAGAGAGGGCTCCCCTAGACCCCCCAATGACCCCAAAACCTCAGGCAAATCTCTGGCACTGCCCAGCACAGCCAGCTCCACAGCGCCCTCTGGTGTCGCCAGTCAACATCTCAGCCGTGAGCGGAGGCAGGGAAGAAACCAGCTGGGGCCCAGCAAGCCGCCTGAGACTGGACACTTTACAGAAGCAGGAACAGTCCACACTTTGGCCCCCATCTCTCTTGAACACCACTGATTTCAGCACATTACTCATCCTATGAGAACAATCAGATATAATGTTCTTCTGTTTATCATGGCTGAGTTTTGTGCTTTGGCGATTCCACAGGATCAGACCACATCTCCGTGTTGCCTTACATTCAAGGGGACAGAGCACCTTTCTGACTTTCAGGACCCTGTTTCCAGTTTGAATGATTCAATCCTACTATGAATTGAAAACAAGTGTCTCCACACCCTGAAGCCTGAACATTTCTGTAAAGGCTAATTAAATGTGTGAACACTACCCCTCTGCCCTCAGTGCCTTCCTCTAACAGAAATGGAGTCCTGCATACTAATGGGAACCACAAGGAAAATTTTAAACAATTAGCATATAAGTGGCCTATTCATCACTGACGTCGCTTTAAAATATACATAATTAGAACCACCACACAATTTTAAGTCAGTCCTAAGGGAGCACCGAGTCACTGCCTGAAAGCCAGCAGGCATGCAGGAGGCCGCAGCTGGGGTCGGGGGCCTACCTCCTCGGTTCCAGGCCTTCGAGCTGCCGCTGGAAGCATCTCCTATGCTTATCTGCTCCTCTCTGTCCAACAGCAAATGTGCCACTTGCAAGACCACTTGGTCAATAAAATCTCGAGGGAGGGTGGCACAGTTCCTCAGGCGCTCAACTTTTTCTCTAGGTTGAAATCCAGACAGCCAGAGTTCATCAGCCGGGGCCTCTGCTCCTCCCTCGGCAGCCCCAACGTCCAGGGCCCGGTGCCCGTTGGGGTGACCCTCATGTCCCACAGCAGCCCGGGGTGGAAGAGAGGCAGGCGTCTCGCCGGATGGGCTGGCAAGGTGGCCCCGCCTGCTGTTAATATACTGGGTTCTCTGCTTATCCATGGAAACTTCTCTAGCAGGTGAGTATGTTCTGGATTTCCCAATGAGACAAACCTGCTTGTGAAAAAAAAGCAGAGTATTTTACCAGGTTCCTATAGCATTTCAATGTTTGTCATTTAATTCTCTTCTTCTGCAGCACACATTAAAGTTTTAGGCATTTATGGGACGCCTGGGTGGCTCAGTGGTTGTGCATCTGCCTCCGGCCCAGGGTGTGATCCTAGAGACCCGGGATCGAGTCCCGCTGGGCTCCCTGCATGGAGCCTGCTTCTCCCTCTGCCTGTGTCTCTGCCTCTGCCTCTCTCTCTCTCTCTCTCTCATGAATAAATAAAATCTTTTAAAATAAATAAATAAATAAATAAAATTTTAGGCATTTATCACAAAAGAAAAGCTTATTTTAAAAACCAATAAAAACATCCAAAATAAACCAAGAGCAAAAGCCCACAAAGAAACTCCTGGCTCAGACTTTCAGAGCCCTAACACACATGTACAAATCACAAGTCCATAGTTACTGAGCTTATGGCCATGCCTATTCTGAACGTTCTACATGTGAGAGCCTCCATTTGACCCTCACGTGCAGACAGTAACACTGAGCTCTCAAAATGAGATGTCCTCCTATCAACCTTGCCAGAGCGAGGCAGGAGTACCTAGCAAAGCACTCAGTACAGCATGGATGCTCATTCCATGCTCTTTTATTCTTTGTACATCCAGCTCAAGGCTGCCGCACAGGAGTCCCCAAGGCAAGTGAGGCCAGTCCAGCGACACTGCCACAGGCACAGCATCTCTGGACTTCCTACAAGAGGAGGAGCTACAAAGCCAGGTTAGAGACAACAAAAGAAAGCAACTCTAATTATATCAGAGCCACTCTTACTAGTCTCCAGCCCTGCCACCTGATGCATGCATGATCCTGGGCAGGTAACTCAACCTCTCTGTGTGAGAACAAGCATGCCAGGTGTCATCAGCCCTCACTGGGTAGCTGCTATGTGTGCACATCTGCTCTTACATTTGTACTCCAAACCACCGAGTTACAAGAAAGCTGAGGCTCAGAGTGATTAAGGACTGGTACATGCTCTCTAACAAGACAACAGAAAGACAAGTGCAAAAAACCCAAACTGCGAGATCCTTGAACCTACTCACATGACCCAAAGCCTAGCAGTTCCCAGACTCAATTCCAACTTTAGTAGAGTGACTTGCCAACGTGAGCGCACATAGGAGAATGAATCCTATGTCATTCATCATGGCTCTGAAGCAGAGTCCTAAAGGAAGCTTTCAAAGTTACTTGAGCAGTGACCACACGGGCAGCAATGACATACTGGAGGCCACGTGGGCCCCACTCACCACCACTAAGCACCTACAATGAAGGTGCCATTTTTTATCTTTTCCTCGCTGGACAGACAAGGACACAGGTGTGGCTCACAATGTGCCCAAGAATTCACTGCCGGCAGGTGGCAGAGCCGAGAGTTCACCTCACACCTTAGACCCTTTTTGCCATGTCAAGCAATGAAGTTAATAATTTGGATACGATGGGTTTTTTTTGTTTTGCTGTTCAAAGCAGTGGCTCACTGACAGCACTGAGTCTGAAGTCTGAGAAGAGGAAGCTATCAGAAACTATCATAAATCGATGGCAGTACTTCTCATGGCTCAGAGGGTGAGTGGGAATGCCACCGAGCCTGCCCTGACCACCTGGCAGGGTCACACAGGGTACTCATGCTGTTTTCAGACTGTGTAAGGGCCAAGATCTGCCTGGGCCAGGTACATTTTAGGTCAATCTGAATTAATGAAGCATGTGATGAGAAAACAGGAATCATTCTGAACCAAACTTCAATTTCAGCCAATCATTGAGGAACCCAAGTAGTCAGAACCAAGGGCAGGCAGAGCCACAGACAACCCTCAGGCCACCGCTACACAAGTTAGGCTGACACCTGCTTTGGGCAGGTCCTTGAGGGCCATGTGCACTTTCTGGGAAGGAAATGAAGACTCCCTGAGGGTCCTGCAAAGCTGCTATGGGTGTGGAGAAGGCAGTGCCAGGGGCTGTGGAGGCTGAACGAGCCTTCTGCACCCCACCAGGGGTCAGGATGCCGAGATCCACACAGGCTCCTTCTGGATCCCACACACTTTCCAACAGCACAGCATCACCTGTGGTTCTGAGACACTGGCCCTGAGCCAGCAACTCACTGAGGACGCACCCTTTTGGTGGAGGGAATGCGAAGGCAGTCCTCCTCAACGTGAAACCCGCAGGCCAGCCCCACTTCTGTGATGAAATCAAGGTACTCCCGGTACTGAGTCTTCCTGCTCTGCCTCCGGGAGTATTTTCCAATGAAGTCAAAGAAGCAGCAGGGGAGGACAAAGAAGCGGCAGCCGTAGGAAGACCTTCAAAAGCAATCCACAAAAAACAAAAGGAAATTTAGCAGAAAGCTGTATGGCTAACATGTATCTGGGTAAAATACATGTGTGTTGCTGGCTGACAATGTCTTCTAGGTGACAAAATAGAGCTCTCCCTAACTCAATTTCTAGAAACAGTGCAGCATGGCATACCTTCCCCATGAAATACGAAGTGAATTACTTCTATAAAACACTTGCTCCACTGCAGTTGCTCTTGTCAACTGAAACCCACTTCTTGAAATGCCTGAGATTTCAGCTGTGAGTGAGGCACCTGGGAGGCGGGCCCAGCCAGGACGAACACCTGCTCCCTGACCCACATCATTCTCCAAGAGCTAAGACAGCTCAAAGACCATGGATGAAGAGCCATAGCCACGAAATATTTGGGGCAGCAACGTAACCTGCATCTCTGTGACATCTCCTCCTGACCTAGAAGCGCTGCCACATGTCTAGCCCCTGGGCTGAAAAATAAATACTGCTGCAAGTATCTCTATGTTGAGAGATTTTTCCTTTCCTTTTCCAACCAACACTCCTGTTGCCAGAAAAAAGCTTTCAAAATATGACAGGTCTCTCAATACTGGATATAAATATATTGCAGAAGTGATCAGTTTTCATCAGCACATTCAATAGAAGAATAATGTGAATCACATTTGTGATCTTTTCAGCCACGTTTTATATAAAACAGGCAGAATTTAACCCTGACCCGATATATTCTGCAGATTATCATTTCAGCAATCTGAACTAGCTATGTCTCCAGTGTTCAACAGCCACAGCGGCTAGTTTTGGACAGTGAGATTTAGGCACCAAAACATTCTGCTCCCCCCTACCAGCTGCCCTGCAGGCTGGGCTATCTGCTCACCTGGCTGCAATGACAGGTATCCATGGTGTCAATTCATCAGAATGGTTACCAATTAACCAATCAACGTCAGGGAACAAGGTCTTATCATTTGGTGTGATTGCATCTTCCTAAAAGAAAGGCACGCAACGAGACCACATGTTGGTTCAGTAAAGCAGAACACAGCTATGAGGCTAGGCCCTACAGAATCCTGGCTTGCTGGGGTGGTCGTCTCAGCCCCTCAGGTGGTCGTGGGTTCTGGGAAGGCCCCTGAATGTATGGTCTGCATCTGCCCCAGAGGGTGTGAAATACAGCAGCTTTTAGTGTCGTCACTAAAGACACTAACAATGCTCTGAGTGCTAATCTCTTGTTGATCCTTACAAATGTGCTTCTCTACACAAACACACAAAGAAGCTACAGGAGAAGGACAGAGCAAGAGTTTCCACCCTGGCAGGACATCGGAGCCAGACAGGGCCTCAGGAGCAAGTGAGTGGAACACAAGTGGGTCTGAGGTTAAGTGTGTCACGTAATGCATCACATAACCTCACATCTGTCAACCTATGTGATGAAGCACACCTGTGAAGGGACGAGGTAGGCTGAGGCAGGAGTTTACATATAAAAGGAGAAATCTTTGATATTGCGCAATCTTTTGTAAACAGACACCAAGTAAAAACCCACTCCACAGGCAGGTTAGCCATTCTGATAATTTCTGTAATTAAGCCGCAGATAGCTGGATTTTATGATTTAGAACTTTACATTGACCCTACTCCTACATGACACCCTACTCTTCCTGCTAAGCAGCAGGCCATCACACATGATTGCAGTCGGACCCCAACACTGTCAGTGAGAACTGGGAAGACAGAGAAAAGATACTACACAGCCGCTCAAGACCCTCCAAACTTTAAAGCTGAAGAGCCAACACCCAAGGGAAGCGAGCACAGCTGCTTTCCTAGCTCAAAACACACCAGGAAGACAGTCTGACAACACTCACTTTCAAGGCCCTTCCTTAGAACAACAAAACTATGAGTCTTTCAAGACATGATATATACAAAGTGGAATTTGAACTCTACCATCTTTCCGTTTTTTTTTTTTTGTTGTTTTTTTTTTTTTTAATCTTTCCGGTTCTTAAATAAGCATCTGGGCTTCTACTTACGCACATTAAAACAGTGAAAACAGTACTGCTCAACTGGTATGGATAGAATTTAACAGCAGGAAAAAACAGACCTTATTATTCTCTATCTCCACCCAGTCTAGCTTTAAAGTTGCCTATTTCCCTTTACATGGCCCGCATGAATAGAAATGTAATTTACGGCTGCTGTGATTTAGCAGTTTTATAATCAAATGACGATTTTGAAAGAAGCTGTAAACTTGTCCTCGGCTTTTGACCGTGTGGATAAAGAAAACGAGCCCATAGAGTTTGCCACTCCCTTCCACTAATCTTTTTTATTTTTACAATGTCATTCTCTACCTTCAAAAAAAATGAGGCAGAAAATATGCAAATGGTCTCAAAGTTCTATTTAAAGATGAAATGGCACAGCTGAGCATTATTTCACAGGAGCGGCAGGCCAAGCTCAGGGCAAAAGAGCAAGTGTGGACAGCTGCGAGCTTCTGGGCACATCACGCTCTTCTGATTTCTGTGCACCCTCCACAGTGACGAGTGAATGCGTGAGAAGTCTCATCAGCTCTCTGGCCACTGGGGATGAGAATCTGTGTCCCAGTCACATCCTGCATTTAACTCCAGGACCAAGGTCTTGAGGTAACCAGGGGTGGAGCACAGCTGGGCAGTGGGAGGGACCTAGTGTGGAGACCCTCCTATGGAGCCCTCTGCTGGCCAGCTCAGAGGCCTCGACCAGACACCGACACAGCAACACTGGACACCAGACCTGATGGGGAATGCTGCTCAGGTGGCCGGTCACCTTCTCCCTTAGGGAGACACTCCTCTCTGACTGGGACCAGGACAAGTGAGCTCCTTCTGAGCAAGACTGTAGGGACCTGGGTTCACTGTGGCTCCACAGTCATAGGCTCCAGAGACAAATGTACAGTCTAGCTCCACAGGGCATCGGCACACCTGAGACCCAGCCCCAGCCCAGGTGCATTTTACCTTCCTTCCCTAGACTCTTCAGCACCTGCCTTCTTGCTAGGAGGCCCTCCTGGCTACTCTACATAAATAGCAAGACCTGGTGCCCCAGTGGCCCCCTCACCCTCCCCTGCCCTGCTCAGGTGTTCATCCCTCTCAGCAAGTACCACACCTGACACCCCACACCCACTCTTTCTGGGGGTGTCCCCCACCCCCATGAAGGCAGGAGCCTTTCATTACTGTTGAACTGCCAGCACCTGAAAACACCTGACAAGTTGAAGGCACTCAAAAATTTGGTAAATATGTAAATCTCTACTTTTTCTCCTGTATTTTGGATGCATCTCTTAAAGCATTCAAAACTCTTCCTGAAAGTGTATTTGAAATAAAACCTTTCTGAAAACCATTATGACAATATCATCAAAAACTTCTAAAGTTTGGCCTATAATAGATTTTTTTTAAGTGGACTAAGACTGACACACAAAGATTTATGTAATGAACTTGTCATCTGAACACAGTCAAGAACATGAGGTGAGCCAAGAGGATAACCTCACTGTCATCGTGTGCTGTATGTGTGTGCCCTGCCCTCTTAGGGGCCATGGGCGTGACAGGATACCAACCTGGCACTGTGTCAGGACCAGTGAATACATGAGGCACCTGGCACACTCATTGGAACTGCCACTACGAGACAACCATGTGAGATCAAACAAAAAAAAAAAGGCCAGTACCTCTAAGCAAGTCTGTGGTCCATACATGTCCCAGATTTTTCTTCTTCGTACATCAATCCCTCTGCCTGGATGCTAAAATAATTTCAGAAACCAAAGGTTAACGCTGGTACAGTATAATAAATTAGCAAGAACAAATTAAACTCTGCAGAGATTGCCACCAGTGTGAAGTGCAAGAGACCTTTTACACTCACGGATGGCACTCATGGTATCTCAGCGCTGGAAACAGACATTCATGCCCCTGCAAGGCATGGGTAAGAACCTGCAGTCCGCAAAGGTCACCCACCAGGAGCCTTCACAATGGGAAAATGGAGTCAAGGTATGAGAACGTGTCCGAGGACAGTGGCCCAGGAGACGCACATGGAAACAGAGCCTGTCTCATGGCCCGGAGTCCAGTCCAGACCCCAGCACATCTGCCCCTCCAACTTGAAACAGACAAGGCCCATCCGCTGTGGCTGCGTCTCAGCCAGTACGCTGTGCCTGTATCCGCGGGCTCTCACAGGGCAGCCAGGCTCATTTCCAAGTTGGGAGGAGGAGGGGTGGACAAGGTACCCGGTCCTCCTTACCTACCAGCCTACACGCCACCACCTGATGTGCTGATGCCCCAGAGACAACTTGTTTACAGGTATTACTGTCATAAACTCATTTTTTAATAAAGCAATTAAAAAGTACATTCTGATGATCTCATTTCAAGTTCCTTAGCTGTGGACGGGACATCTCTCCCACAGGGCAGAATGCTACAGGAAGAAATCAGCTGGGGTCACCATGATGGAGCACGAAGCTACTAAGCTCCAGCTAGCTCAGCCAGGTGACAATGACGGCATCCTCCGCGGGAAGGCTGGACACTGGCCCAAAGCATCGGCCCAGGGAGCTCAGAGCTCATGCTTACACTAAACTGCCCTGAGCAGCAGTGGCTACTCTCAGCACATCCTGTCTTGACTTCACGGATCTGAAAATGGTGCACAAACCAGTGTCATAAGCTTATATCATAGTGTAAGTATCCTCTAAGCTGGGCGTCCAGCTTCTGGAGGGCAGACCTACTGCCTCGTATTCCCCTTCCAGTACCCTGACATGCCACATTCCCCAGAGAAGCACCTGACAGCAACCACGGCTGTACTGGGTAAAGTCTGTCATCCACAGGCGCAGCCCCTGCAAGCCCAAGAGCCCTGTTCTATCTCCTCTCTCCCAGCCACATGGGCTGCCTGTGCTCCTTGGTCACCAGTCCAACACCCAGGCAGACTCTGGATCCAGCTCATATCAGAAAACCACCTCAAGGGCCCTTGTGCTGGACTGGAAGACACTCTGGAAAAGGAATTAGAAATGGCCACAGATGTACATTTACCCCCTCAGTGCTCAGGATGTGGACCAGGAGACCGTTACCACATCCTAAGTCAACAAAGGACTGCTTGGCTGTCAAGCCCTGCTCCTCTCGCTCCTCTTCCCACAAAACCTAGGTAAAAAAAAAAAAAAAATCAGTCCTGATTCACTTCTTCCAAGAATAATTCAGATACAAATTCTACACGGGTTACAAATAACATTTCCAGAAAAGGTAGGACAGGCTTCATCTGTGGCCCTGGGTCTGCAGAGCCGACCTACAGGTGAGCAGAGGGAGCTGCCCTTGCCTGCTGCTGCAGGGGCATTGAAGCTTCCTCCTCCCATTGACAGTCTACATGAAAGTGATCCCCTCTGGGCAAGAGCTCTACAGATGACTGCTGGTTTCCTCATGGCTTCTCTCTGTTCTTCAAGGACATATACTTTAATAATCAAAGCAAAGTATGCTATTTCTAAAAAGGCTATGAGAATCACAGATGAAAAGAAATTAGAAATTATCTGGTCTAAACATTTTTTTAGATAAGAAAGTCAAGACTATTAAGTCAAGGCACACCCAAATTTCGAGGCTGGAAAACTAGCTAAGGAAGGACCCAGGATGGAGGGGTCCCGTCAGCAGCGTGGGCCACCCAGCGCCTCCATGGTTACAATGAGGCAGGGAAGCCCCAGCTAAGCTGGAGCTTCATGACACAGGTTTATTCCTCACTCACACCAAGCCCAACTACTATACGTGTTACCAAACTAGCAACAGAACCAGAAACACGCTAAGTGACGGATTTGATAAATGTTGTTCCCCACTGGTAGCAGCTGAGGGTAGCAACCTTCCCCCACTGCAGAGGAGCTTAGATGACCGGACATACTCTTACCAGCAGGTAGGCAGCAAGAGCCACATCTTCGTACACAAACTTTTCCGGATCAGTTACTTCAGGCCATTCCTAGAAAGTGTTCCAGAGTGCATGTGATTATAACTCCATCATTTTGCCTAATGTCACTACATTTAGAGTATCCCCAGTAGCCATACAGCACATGAGACTTCTCAGGCGGGAAAATTTTAAAAACAAGCTCATTCCAAAGGCAGACATTTATGATCACTTTCATACAATAGACAAGTGGCATAAAGACACACAAAACTTTTACCATCTATGCCTATAGATGGCATAGGACACATCAAAAAACAATGCTGTCCAAAGCAAGATTTTGCAACAAAAATGACATGTAAGATATTTAGATGAAACAACTGTACCATCATAGGAAAATGCTCAGCTCTCCTGTCCCCATCACTTATCCAGATGAGGGAAATGAACAAGAAAACCTGGATGAGGAGAGCAAAAGGGTCACAAGGCCAGTGCACCAGCCCTCTGGTCTGCTGGTGCCTGGCTGTCACCTGTCAGGAGCAGCACTCAGCAGGTGGTCCCCATCTCCCTATGTGTAAAGGGAGAAAGCCTTAGCTGCCACACAGGACAACAGCAGGTACCCTGAAAGCTGCACAACATGGGCTGCCAAGTGTGACAGCTCACTATCTACATCACTGACATGCACGACAGAATCTGGCAAAGAGGACAAACCCATGACAAGGTGACACGTTCAGATTTCCATTTCTAGTCACAAGGGATTAGACAGGTCAGATGGTCTCACTAGGCCAATTTCAAAGGCTGAAATAATAGATGAAGTCCCTTCCTGAAGGAACTGAATAGTTAATAAGATAATGAAGGCCTCTCAGGCCAGGAGCTGGAAGGGAAGGGGTCCCCAGCTTAGGTCAGCCAGGCCTAGGAGCCACATACTTCAGCAAGAGTGAAAGGTCACTGTCTCCAGCCTATGAACTTTGAGGTGCTCTGTTACATAATGATAGGTAAGTGATTTAAAAAACAAACAAAAAAAAACACATATGGGTACCTTGGGATCTCAGTCAATTGAGCGTCTGACTCTTGATTTTGGCTCAGGTCATGATCTCAGGATCCTAGGATCAAGCCCTGCATTGGGCTCCATGCGGAGCACAGAGCCTGCTTAAGATTCTCTCCCTCCCTCCAAAAACAAACACACACACACACACACACACACACACACACACGAAGAAATGACAAATCATGGTTCCCTCCAGAAAGAGGGCTATACACTTGGAAGAGTACAAAAGAAGTTCAGTCACATTAGGAAAGCTTTATTTCTTACTCTGGTTGTGAGCATAGAGGTTTGCTGTTACTGTCTCTACATCCTAAACATAGTTAAGGACATATGAAATTTATCTTCTTTCTGGAAGTACATGCTTTTGTATTTAATTTTTATATATTTTAAGCGTCCTTAAGTTTATATAAGGAAATGTGACAATTTTGTAACTAATATCCAACTACTTTCAATTAAATATTTCCCTTTATTTGCTTGGAAAAAAATTAGCAATGTGCAAAAAAAAAAAATCCTTTTCTGTAACACATCTGTTGACATTTTTGCTGTCTGTATCCCTATGTTGAAATACAACCTACAACACAGGCCCTCAGTAGCTATACATTAACTTGGTGTCCGCATCTGCAGAAACCAGGATGTTTACTGGAAAAATGATTTCACCTGGCATACTTTGGCCAATGTCACCTCATCTAAATGAGGGGAATTACAAATGTCTTCCCCAGGGTTACCTTGACCATGTCTTTATACTTCTCCTTGAGCATCTGGTAAGTCTTGCTGTATTTGATGATGGAAATGAGGGACAGGGTGCTTTTAAATCCGCTCTTCTTGCTGTCCACAGACCACCTGGCCAGCCTGGGCAGCAGCTCTTCTCCCAGCCAACTGGGTCTGGGATAAATAATGCCATCTGAATGCCATCTTTCTGGACAGAAAATTAAAATAGATATAAACCTTTAAAAATAAGAGAAATATGAATAAGCAGAGCTAGTTTCAATTCTTATTTTAACATTTACCAAGAGAAGAGACAGCTATAATTACAAAATATTTGACCTGAAGCCCAACAACTAGCTGTAGAACTTTCATCAAATAGAGAAAAACACATTTTTTAAAAGCAGAAAGAATCCTCTTACAAACACTGTTAAAAACACACTTACCCATCCTATGAAGCCCATTAGGAAGATGGACAAATAACAAAGCTCCTCTTACTGTCTGCTTCACGCACTGACTAGCCAGCTTCTGAACATCTAAGGATTTCTCTAAATTCTGTTTTCATATATTTTCACACATGCAACTCAAATGTGACTATACCGGCTCACCAAATACTCCCCAGGCAGAAAGTGGAGCACTTGGCCTCAAAGCTAAGAACACGCAAAATCCCTGTGCAGCTCACAGGTTCAGTTCTGTGTCTATCTCCTGCCCCCACAGCTCCTGTCCGCTGTCACCTGCTCAGCACCAGATGCACAGCAGGCCCTCACAGTCTGTGTGATGAACACGCAAATAAAAACTCACCCCACAGGCCCAGATCACAATACACTATCTGAGGACACAATTCAGGTGGCACAATAAGCGGAGAGGATCCAGACTGTCAGGTGGAGAAAAGAGGCTACAAAAAAGGTGGCATTCATCATCGGTCCTAAGAGCAAGTGGAAGCACAGCAGTTGGGTGAGGGGGCAGGGTAAGTGGTCACGCACTCTGGCAAGAGCTAGGACAGTCAGGCTTTTTGTCGCCATGTACATCAGAGGCACATAGCTCCCCCTGAGTAACAGGCACTGACTCTCCACTGAGAGGTGCACCCACGCGGGTCATGATGTGGGAAGAGTCCAGGAATGACTCAGACTGCTCCCCTTCCCAGTCCCTTCACCTGGGAAGCTCTCCAGCCAGGGCTGGCACCCCTGTCAGGCCCTTCCTGTGCTCTCCCCGGGCCTTGTGCCCTTCTCCCAGGTGTTCCCAGAGTCCCCACAGCCTCCTTCCTCATCCACTCTGGGCTCATCCAGGATGCCCCCTCCTCAGAGGCATTTCCCAGTCACTCTGCATGTACCTGACACAACACTGCCTTAGCTAACAAGGAGATGTGGGAACAGAGACACGTCTTACCTGTTGTACTTTGTACCACCTGGTGGTAGAGTGTATACTTATGTATCATGCCACTCTGCCCAGTGCCAAGAACATGGTAGGGTGGGTGCACACCACCACTGCCACGGACGACAGGAGCCGACCAGGAGCACTATGCGCTACAGCAGTGGCCTGGCCAACCCCATTAAACTTGTGCTTAGCATCTGGCCCGAGTGCCCAAAGGGACAGCTGCCTGGTAGGCAAAGACAGGAAACACCAACCTGGAAAGATGGGGAGCAGGCACCTGAGTTCAAGCCCTCAGGAAATCAGCAAAGAATGTGACCACCACACGTGGAATGTACTGCACACTGCTACGGCCGTGCCACACTGGGAGCTCTCACAGCAGACCCAACAGATGCCTTCAGTGCCCACTTACCAGCTCTATGATCAGCACCCCCAGGTGACCACCACAGGAGACACACTTTCCCCAAGGTGCCTGCTCCCAGTCCCCAGTTTCCAACAACACACCAAGGAAAGAGCCTGGGGCCGGATCTCTTGGGCAGTCTCTTGACAATTCTAAGAGGATTCACCCAGGCCCTAAGTATTCCCATCAAGCTTCTATGCCTGCAACAGGTCCCTACAAAGCCTAGGCTCCTCCTCTGAGGTTCAAGAATTATTAAACCCATCACAGGGATGGGGAGACTGAGGGTCACAAAGATGACATACCCAAGGTCACAGTGTTAGTGGGCAAATCAGGCTCTTTCCACTGTACTCCTCTGCTTTATACAAACCCATGTGCCAACAAGCCCAGCCTGCTTACACAGACACAATCCCCAAGCCTGTTCTGGAAAGTACAGACCAGATATGGCTCTCAGAAAAACATCAGCAGCAAAGTGATAAGTGATTTTACCCTTCCTCTGACTTTTCCATTTAAAAAATACCAAATGGAAGTAAACCAAATTTCACACTTGCTGTACAGGCCCAAAAGCCACATGAACTAAGGGGCCTACTGATCTGCCACTTTCATGATAAGCACCACTGAATACCCACAATATCCGAAACCACATGAGCCTCAACAGGAAATAAAAAAGGAAGCTATTCCTGCTCCCCATTCCCAAGCTGTAAGAAAGAATTTAATAAAAAGATTTGCAATTGCTTAAATTCAGCTACACCTAGGTGCTATTCATCATCCCAGCTGCGTGGAATGTAAAGAATACAGACTCCGGCCAGGCTGGGATCACCCACACACAGGCCGGGTGCCCACAGGAACAAAGACACGTCATGGAGACATCAACTAGAAACAGGAAACACATTCTCACACACCTCAGCTGCCGAAGGGTGCCTTTGGTTCTTCAACGACCCTGATTCTTGCAGCTACCTAGGTGAGCGACTGATACCACACGGCACTGGAGGAGGAGTCCAGTCTTTAGCTCTTACCATTCTTCTCTGCTCTGACTGAGCCGGATTTGATACGCGTTGCTTGTCTCAACCTTTAAATTCCCTCTGTCGTCTTCTTCCAAAGGTAAAAATGTTACTGTTCCATTGAGGACATCTGGGGAACAAAGACAGGGATAATCAATGAAAACTGCTTACTTAGTTCAGCATTTTATCAGACCCAATGTTAAAGATAGTAAAGACTCAGCCTGACTTTGCTCTCCCAAGGCTTTCCCCGTTCTCTTTACCACGGCATCCAGGAAGATAGATATGCTTTTTTTACATCCTATCCACTGCTGCGAACCGAGCTCACAGGGTGCCAGGCACGCGGCAGACACGTTCAGCAGGAGCCAGCAGGAGCCGAGGGGAGAAAGCAGTCCTAAAACCAGCACACCTTATAGAGGGAGGAGCACTGTCTCTCCTCGCCAGAGAAGCCAATCTGGGAATGCAGATGTCTGCATCTGAAGGCCTCGGGGAACCTGACTCACCAACTTCTGTCTGGCAGAGGGGAGATGTGAAAGGTGACCAAACCCAGACAAAAGCTGGAGGAGCTCCTAAAGTAGTCTGGACGACGACAGGATCAGGGAGGGCCTCCCGGCAGAGGGGACACCTGGGAAGAATCTTGCAGGGGACACAGAGGCAGACAGTACTGGGAAGTGGGGGTGGGAGGGAACACACCTACCAGTGACTTGACATTGCAGCATGTGCTGCAGCAACCTCCCCAAGGTGTTCATGCCCTAATACCCACAACCCAAGAGTATGCTGTGTGACGAGGCAAAAATGGACTTTGCAGATGTGAGGGGGCCACAGGCCTCAGGAAAGAGAGTGCTCTGGATTAGGCAGGTGGGCTCAGGCCAGTCACAAGGGCCCTGAACAGCTGACATCTTGCTCCAGCTGGAGGCAGCAGAGGAAGCTGCAAGTGTGAGAAGGACTGGACATCACAGCTGGCTCTGGGACTCAAGAGCCCGAGGGAGCCTTCCACCAGGTCCTCCAGGAGCGGGCCTTCCACTAGTCTCTTCGCCTGCTAAACTCTTATCCATCATTCGACATCTGGTGCTCCTTCACCTCCTCCCTCAGGCATTCCAGACACTCCCCCCCAACGATGACCCCATTCTCTGTACTAGAAATGCACATTTCTACATGTCCCCTCAAAAACCAACAAAAAAAAAACAACTAAACCTCCCTAGGACTTTACAAAGGTACTGACATAGTGAGTATGGTTTTTCACTGCCCTGAGGTTCAAAGGACAGTCTTTAATCAAACTGCATCTTGTGCAGAAGATTCTCTCCCTAACCAAACTCCGGCCAGGCTCTCTGGGCCCTGTCTCAACCCGGCTTCAACTTGGCTGGTGTTTGGGTAAAGACTCAAACACTGACATTCTCTAAGAGCTCAGGCTGCATCCCTAGAATGACCGGGCCCGTCAGGCTGCGGGGACAGTCCCAGCCCTGCCCTAACCCTAGGGTGGGCCCCTGTGGGGCGGGCGGGCGGGGCAGCCCGACTTCCAGGAGCGCGAGCAGGAAGCCGCAAGGGGTCACCAGGGCCGCACACCCCGTTTGGCTGATTCTGGCCTCCCCCACTGTACCGAGCCCGCCCCACTTCTCTCCCCCTCCCTCCGCCTCTCGGCCGCCCCGTCTCCTCTGCACAAATCCAAGCGGAGACTCTCCTCCCCATCGCAACAACGTATTTGTACTTAAAACTGTCCTCGCGGCTGTCCCCGACGCCCGTGACCGTCAGATCGCTCCTACCTCGCACGACCATTTCCCTCCTGGGAACGGCAAGCGGGCAGTGCGGGCCTGTTTTCGGGATGACGGTTCTGAGAACGAGGTCCAGCTCGCGGGGCGCCCCTGGCTGCGACCCCACCGGGGACCCGGCGAGGAAGGCCAGCACCTCCGGGCCGCCGCCGGCGAGGCTTCGAGAGCAAGCGTCCCAGGCGGACTCCAGATCCGAGGCCGGGAAATCGGCGTCCCCGACCCCCGGCTCGCGGGGCTGCCCGGGGCCCCCCGCGAGCCGAGGCGCGCCCAGGTCGGGGCCCGAGCTCGGCCCGGGACCCAGGCCCCCATCCGGGGGGCGCAGACCCGGGGCGGCCGCGGCCCGCTCCTCCTGCTCCCGGCCGGCGTTGGGCCGAGGCCCGCAGTCCTCCGCCCGGGGCTCAGCAACACTCCGCCGGGCCTCCAGGCGGACGCCACACAGCCGCTTGTTGGCCACCTGCGGCCTCTCCAGCCACACGGCCACCGCCGCCCAGAAGCCCCCGGGGAGCAGCGCACCCGGGTCGCGCACGGCCGCCCGGCCCACCTCCGCCATGGCCGGCCAGGCCCCGGCGCTCCGCGGCTACGGAGCGCTGTGATGACGCACGGGGCGGCGCGGCTCGTGACGTAAGGGGGCGGGGCGAGGGGCGGGGCGGGGGCGGGGCGAGGGGCGGGGCTAGGGGCGGGGCTAGGGGCGAGGGGCGGGGCAGACGGGGAGCCCGCTAGCTCTCCGGGCGAGTTCCCGCTGCGCTCGGAGGACGGCGCTGGCGGCGGCCTGTGCACGCTGCGTTGGGCCCCCCGGGCCCGGGTCCTGTGGCGGGTGCGGGTGTCCGGCGGAGGTCTGGCTCCTCCCCGCTGCCCGTGGGCCTGCTGTCTGAGCGCCCCGGGCCCCCTGCGCGTCCCCTCCGGTTGGGGGCCCCGCCTGCAGCACAGTCCGCAGAGTCTGTGCTATGCCGAAAACCCCGGAGACTCATCCTCTAGGTGCCCGGGTGGGTCGCTCCGCGGGGGGCTTTAATCGCTCGCTGGAGGGTCTCTGCGGAGTCCAGAGGAAGCAAGCCCTAGCTCGAAGCGAGCGATCCGTTGGAGAAGGGCACGCGCCGGTCTCCGGACTTCGGGGAGGCCTCACCGAGTGATGTTCACGCCCTCCCTCGGCCTTGGGCCTCGTGGGTTTATGCTGTCTGCACTGTCAAACAAACAGTAAATAGCCAGTGATTTTACTAGCAAATTGAGTTTATTCGGGGATGACAGAGAAATAGCAGTTCGGAGGTGCAAGCTACAGTGTAAGGCAAGTTGGAGAGATGAAGGAAAGGGGAGCTTATATTAGGTTTTTAGGAGGAAATTGGAGAGGGGTGTTTTAACTTAAACACAAGTTCGGGGGAGAAGAATAGAAGTTTGAGGTTAGCCAGTTTCTCATTGGCTGCAAGCCCCCTTAGGGCACTGTTGCTGGGGTGGGGAGAGAGGGGTCATCCTTCTGTTTCTTAAAAGAGATGGAATTACTATGTGAAAAAATGTCCTCTCTTGTCCCTAATAATTCTTTCTGCTGGTGATGTAAGTACTCTCCCTTCAGGGCTTCCCAAGGGAAGCCTGTGCTTTTTTTTTTTTTTTTTTTTAATTTATTTATCCGTGACAGACACACAGAGATGCAGAGAGAGAGGCAGAGACACAAGCAGAGGGCGAAGCAGGCTCCACGCAGGGAGCACGACCTGGGACTCAGTCCAGGGTCTCCAGGATCAGGCCCTGGGCTGAAGGCGGCGCTAAACCGCTGAGCCACCCGGGCTGCCCCCAACTCTTTTTTTTTTTTTTTTTAATTTATGACAGTCACAGAGAGAGAGAGAGGCAGAGACACAGGCAGAGGGAGAAGCAGGCTCCATGCATCGGGAGCCTGACGTGGGACTCGATCCCGGGTCTCCAGGATCGCGCCCTGGGCCAAAGACCGGCGCTAAACCACTGCGCCACCCAGGGATCCCCCAACTCTTATTTATGTATTTGACAGAGATGGAGGGGCAGAGGGAGACAATCCCAGGGAACTGGTTCCGGGGATCAATCTCACAACCTGAGCTGAAATCAAGTCGTGTGCTTCATGGACTGAGCCGCCCAGGCGCTCTGCTCCTCCCCTGACTCCATTTTAACTGAGGCTTGCTTTCTTCCTTTCTTTCCTGGGGGCTGCTATAACAAATCACCACAAACTGGGAGGCTTAAAACAACAGAAATTCATTCTCTCACACTTCTGGAGGCTCTGAAAGAGAACACTTCCTGCCTCTCCCGCAATTTCTGCTGGTTGCCAGCAATTGCTAGCATTCCTGGACTGCAGCCTCCGTGGTCACACAGCCTGCTCCTCCACTTTCTCCATGTCTCTTCTCCAAAGACCCTATTTCCAAATAAGGCCACAGGTACAGTGGGTTAGGATTTTGACCTGCTTTCTGGGGGGAGGGGGGGGGACAGAATTCAACCCCCAGCTCTGTCCACAGGGGCATAGTCTAGTTGGAACAGCCAAAAGAGGAGTCATTACAAATCTCACCAATTGCTAACATGGGGGGGTGGGGCTGGGCCAAGCTTGTAGAATGAAGAGCTGATTACGATCCTGCACTTGAGCAAGCTTCAGGCCATAATGATGGTTATGAAACATGAAAGAAAGTACAGCACTTAACACAGGCACAGGGGTCAAAGGCTATGGAGAGAGGGGAGTTTTGGGGCCACCTGGCTGGCTCAGTCAGAAGAGCATATGACTCTTGGTCTCAGGGTTTTAAGTTCAAGCCCCATATTGGACATGGAATCTACTTTAAAAAAAAGAAAAAGAAAAAGAAAAGAAAGAAGAAAGTTTTCTGTACTCCAAGGCTCCTCCTGTCTTGGGGGGAGGATTCTGTGAAAGGAAGGCTCCACTGGAAAAAAAATAAAAGAAAGAAAGAAAAAAGAAAAATTCTACAAGGGAGCTCTCACTTCAAAAGACTTGGCTGTCCAAATAAAGGGCACAGAGCAAAACAGAGCAGTTCCCAAGGGTATAATCCTTTGTTCACTGTAGGAAAAACAAAAACAAAAAAAATTTTCTTCCAAGAAGCTCATCTCACATGTGTACAGTGGTAGATATTAGCACAGCCAAGGGCAATTTTCTTACCGGGGAGCTTGGGGGTCCTAGGAAAGGCTTTGCTAACTCAGGGACTGGTAATAGAGGGGTGTGCTTGTTGATTCAAGTTGATCTCAGGATTCAAAGTGCTGTTGGCTCTTTGTTCAGCTTGGTACGTGAAGTCCTTCAGGCAGAAGTGAGACAAGGTGTCCACTTAGGTTTTGTAAGTACATCTAGCATGTTATTTCATTTAAATGCAGCCCAATTCCTCAATTCTCTTGCCTTTCAGGCTCTGTGCTCCTATGTGTCCAGACCCGTCTTGGTCTCTGAGGCTTTACCATGTCCTGGCACTGACTGACCTGTCCCTGCTGCCCTGCTGGGTGTCACAGGAGTGCAGCAGAGAGAGGTCATAAATCCAAAAGCCCATATTTAGTGGGCAGGAATCCCTGTATAAGACCATGCCAGCTCTTTGCTGGAACGAAGAACAAGGTTTACCAGCCTCTTGGCTCCTACCTGCAGAGTTCCACATAAGCCCACTTGCTGCTTCTTCCAGGCTGTAACCCCCGCCCTCCTCCACTCCTCCCACTAAGCTCCTGCCAAGGGGTCTGCTCATTCTCCTCATTCCCAGGCTAGTCTTTTCTCTGGGTGTTCCCTCTGCCAAGAGAGCCTTTACCTCTTCTCCCAATTAAGAAATGAGGTTAGGGGCTCCTGGGTGGCTATGTCAGTGAAGCGTCTGCCATCAGCTGGGCCATGACCTTGGGGTCCTGGAATCACACCCCACGTTGGGCTCCCTGCTCAGTGAGGAGCCTGCTTCTCCATCTTCCTCTGTCCCGTCCCTGCTCATGCTCTTTCTCTCTCATATAAATAAATAAATGAAGTCCTTAAAAAGAAAAAGAAAGAATGAGATTATATGTCCTCTTAGGACTTCCCTGACCTCCCAACCAAATGGCCCCCCACAAATTGCGTCTCATTGCCAACTGTTGTTGTGTGTTGTCTCCTCCCTTGAGGACACAAAGTGTCCTTAGGTCAGGAAATCTGACTTATTTATCACCAGAGTCCTGGCTTAGTTTTTGGCACACAGGAGCTACCCAGTTATTCATTATTGAGGGTAAAGGTCTGTGAGAGAAGGGAATGGGGTGGAGGTACTTTGTAGCTGGCCCTGCTCTTCTGTAGGTCCTGAAGAAGTGAGGCAGATGGTGGCAGGTGAGAAAGGAGGATGTAGATAGAGAGAGACAAAGGGCCAGAGTCTGGGAGGAAACTTTAGTATTCATGACATGTTCAAATGATTGCACTTACCAATGATGCCCAGTAAAGCAAATGGCTGAAGATGAGAAAGGAATGGGTGGGCCAAATGGGGTGGAGTGGGCAGATGTCAAAATGATCAAGAGTGGGCGGGTGGGGACCCGGCAGAGGACGGCCAGCTCATCATCAGCTGCGTCACTGCAAGAGGTCTTTGCTCCCCTACTGTTTGTACCAGCTCCATGGCCACTCCTTGCAGTTTTACCACAAGTAGCTAACAAAACCTGTTCAAAACCAGGATTCCTTTCTTTTCCTGAAGGCTCTTCCCCCTAGGCTGGCCTCAAAGGTGTCTCCATCCACCCAGGTCCTGTCCTGGCAGGACAACCAGACTTGAGTGCGATCCCTTCCTCTCTCCCTACCTCACCACCATCCAAGATGTTTCAGGGTCCACTTGGTCCAGAGATGTTCAAAGCACGCTCCCTGTCAGACACAGGTCAAGCAGTGGCCCAAGGCTGGGGTGCAGATCCAGTATGGGGTACTGGAGGGCTGGCAAGCAGAGACCAGAAGATGGGGTATAAAGAAAAGCCAGGGTCAGAGTTGGGAATGGTACCCCTGAACCCAGCAACCCCTGCAGGAATCTAAGTGGAGAGATGAAGTAATGAGACCAAAGCTGGCTATGAGTCAGCCCTGAGCAGCTGGTGGTGGCCGGGGGCGGGGGAGGGGTACAGGTGCAGTGATTTGAGAAAGCATAGGAAGAGAGAGGGAGGGAGGGAAAGGAGGGAGAGAAGCCTGGGAGTCTCTGCTTTGTGTGCTCTCGCCACCCCATGAGATAGAGAATCAATAGTTCAAAGTCATCCCCCCACCCTTTCGCCAGCTGCCCTGTCCTTTCCACCTCTCCCCTGTACCAGTCCACCTGTTCCTCCGGCTTCACTGCAAGCCTGCCTGCCAGTCCTTGCTCCCTCTCTGTCACTTGGCACTAGGCTCCAATGATTCCCAAGTGGAAAGATGTTTATCTGATATCAATAAAACATGTGAACCTAACTTACTTTGTAGTAGTTGTTAATTTTGGAAGGAACTGATCTAAAGGTGTGAGTTATTGTTCTATATTTTTTTCTTATTCTCAAAAGTATATCCATTAGAAAAACGGTGGCATCTGTTTTGATTAGACCATTAGTTTAGTTTTTTTTTAAAGATTGTATTTATTTATTTATTCATGAAAGGCACACAGAGAGAGAGAGAGGCAGAGACATAGGCAGAGGGAGAAGCAGGCTCCATGCAGGGAGCCCGATGTGGGACCGGATCCCCGGACTCTGGGATCACACCCTGGGTCAAAGGCAGATGCTTACTCGCTGAGCCACCCAGGCGTCCCACACCATTAGTTTTTATAAAGATGCATTTATTGAGAGAGGAAGATAGAGCATCAGCATGAGGATAGAGAGAGAGAAAAATCTCAAGCGGACTGTACTGAGCTTAAAGCGAGATGTGGGGCTCAATCTCATGACCCTGAGATGACAACCTCTGAGCCAAATCCATGCAGTTGCTCAACCAACTGCTCCACCCAGGCGCCCCTTTATTAGACCATTAGATTTGCAGGCACTCTTGGGGCCCCTTGTAATGATGTCACAGACCCATGGCTGGAAACATTGCCTGGATGGAGAATTAATTTGCATGGCTCAGCATTCAGATTCTTCCTTCTGCTTTTGCAACGGGAAGGTTCTCCTGATGTGGGCAGACTGAGTCCGAGAACACAGGGGAAGTTCCTACAGAACCAGCCAAGAGGGTCCTTGGCTTCATGCGGGACAGAAATCAAAGAGAAAGTGAAAACAGTTTATTGAATAATGTGGGTGACAATGAATAGCAGACAGAGTGTCTGGGAGACTCAGAGGGGAAATGAAAATGAGTCTCTTCCTCGCTTTGAGTTAGGGGCTTATTCAGCAAAGGGTCTAGGGTACTTGTTCCTCCAGAATCCAGGGAAGAGTCCAGTCAAAGGTGTCAGGTGAACAACAGGTGTTATTCTGTAAATTATCAAAGGTTGGAGTATTGATGCCAGCATCAGTAGACATTTGCTTGAAGCTAACATCCTGCAACATGTTTGGGATCCAGCTCTTAAATGTTATCAGGTATTTGGGGACCTAGGACAAAACTCAGAGAATGATTAACCGCATATTTCTACTTTGGTGGAAAAAAAACACGGCGTCTGCTCCTCTGTCCGAGCTCAGGACGTTTAGAATGAGGATCCTCTTTCTGTCTTACCTCTTCTGCACCGCCCCCCGCCCATACTCCTCCTGTTGCTCCACCACCTTGGGTGTGTCCTGCATAACTGATTCCTATACCAAGTGAGTACCTCCAGCACCACTGGCTCCTCATTCCCTCACGAGCAAGGAGTGAAGAGTAACACCTTGGATTTAACACTGTCTACTTCAGATTTCTTCATTGGCGCCTCAGGTAAAAACTGACAATGGGGGAAGAATTGATTGACCTTTAGGGGTCCCAGGTGGAACATAATTCAGTATTTAAACGGATTTAAGTTTGCTGGTTTAATTAGGATAGACATATCTTCAGAGTTATCAGCTTTAAATAGGAAACTTTTATCCTACCAAAATTTACTAAAGGTCAAATAAACTCATGTGATCTCCGTTGCAATTTGTTAGCAAAAAGAGGACTAAAAATGATGGTTAATTTTGTCTGTCTCAAAAGTTTCATGGGTAATTGCCAAGATAGCTTTCAAAGTCTTTGTTAACTGGAAACTTTAAAGTTTTGCTCGGATGATAAATGAGATTGAATTTGTTGGACATCTAGGTCTTTTCCAAATAGGATGGAGTATTAATTACTGGATGTAGGTTTGTGCCTTTGGCTTCTTATTGCAGAGAAGCTGAGGGTACTTGAGTCTGTTAGTAAATATGCTTTGTGCTTTAAAGATTGTATTATGAAAAAACATGTTTTTAAATTATAAAATTATTTATATTCATACATTCTGATCTAAAAATTATGGTGTAACAGTTCACAATTGCTTACTACTTAGTTTTCACGGGGGAATAAGGCATCTAAGAGTCAAAATTCTGGTAAATGTAATTAAGACTGAGTTTTAAAAAAAGACTAGCTCAAAATCTGAATAAATAAAAGAGTTGCAGAAGGTTTATGAAGGGAAATTTTGGGAATGGATTTTTTTTTGGGGGGGGAATGGAATTTTATATGTGGTCAGCTAAGATCAAAATGAATGGATTTTAAAAGTACACTGGTGTTAATCTACTTTTCTCTCTGTTAAAAAGACAAAGTTTTCTTGGATTGTTGGTCGGCTCTGATTAGAACATGTAAACAAAGTTGTTTTTTTATTCTCTTCTGTCTGCCCAGAAAGCCAAGGTTTTTGTTTTGTCTTTATCAGGTCTTTGGTTACTTAACTAAAACTCCTCAATATCAGAGAAGCTAAGTTTGCTAACAACTATATAATACAATATATTTGCCTGTGAAATCTCTTATTGCCCTGTTGGTTAAGTAAGTAATCAAATTTTAAGTTTTACAATAATCTGTAATCCTTATGTAGCCATGTGCTTTATAAGTTTTCTGGGGGTTTAAACAAACTTCCCCCTTTGCTGCTCTAACAGATGATCCTTTCTGCTCAAGGAGACTCCCGTTTGTTATTGACCCTGGAATTCTCAACTGACCAACCTTAACTCGCAGGAAGGGAGAGAGCTGCCCCGAGGAGGCGGGCAGCCCGGGACGGTGAACCGGTGAACCGAGGGGCAGCGGCTGGACACAGCTGGACGGGGGGTGGGTGGCTGCCGGGGGTCAGGGGGTCTGGACGGGGTCTGGGGATCGGGAATCTGGGGGGGCGGGGTCTGGACGGGGGTGTGGGGGGTCGGGGTCTGGAGGGGGATCTGGGGTCGGGGTGTGGGGGTCGGGGATTGGAGAGAGGTCGGGGGTCGGGGGTGTGTGGGGTCGGGGTCTGGAGGGGGGTCGGGGGTCTGGACGGGGTGTCTGGGGTCGGGGTGTGGGGTCGGGGGTCTGGACGGGGTGTGGGGGTCGGGGTCTGGAGGGGGGCTGGGGTCGGCGGTGTGGGGGGCCGGGGTCTGGAGGGGGTCTGGGGTCGGGGGTGTGTGTGGTCGGGGTCTGGATGGGCGACCTGGGGTCGGGGGTCTGGAGGAGGGTATGAGAGGTCGGGAGTCGGGGGTCGGGGTCTGGAGGGGGGTCTGGGGTCGGCGGTGTGGGGGGCCGGGGTCTGGAGGGGGGTCTGGGGTCAGGGGTCTGGGGTCGGGGGTGTGTGGGGTCGGGGTCTGGAGGGGGGTCGGGGGTCTGGAGGGGGGTCTGGGGTCGGGGGTGTGTGGGGTCGGGGTGTGGAGGGGGGTCTGGGGTCGGCGGTGTGGGGGGCCGGGGTCTGGAGGGGGGTCGGGGGTCTGGAGGGGGGTCTGGGGTCGGCGGTGTGGGGGGCCGGGGTCTGGAGGGGGGTCTGGGGTCGGAGGGGGGTCTGGGGTCGGCGGTGTGGGGGGCCGAAGTCTGGAGGGGGGTCTGGGGTCGGCGGTGTGGGGGGCCGAAGTCTGGAGGGGGGTCTGGGGTCGGCGGTGTGGGGGGCCGGGGTATGGAGGGGGGTCTGGGGTCGGCGGTGTGGGGGGCCGGGGTCTGGAGGGGGGTCTGGGGTCGGCGAGGTGTGGGGCCGGGGTCTGGAGGGGGGTCGGGGGTCGGGGTCTGGAGGGGGGTCGGGGGTCGGGGTCTGGAGGGGGGTCTGGGGTCGGCGGTGTGTGGGGCCGGGGTCTGGAGGGGGGTCGGGGGTCGGCGGTGTGTGGGGCCGGGGTCTGGAGGGGGGTCGGGGTCTGGAGGGGGGTTGGGGGTCGGCGGTGTGTGGGGCCGGGGTCTGGAGGGGGGTCGGGGGTCGGGCGGGGTGTGTGGGGCCGGGGTCTGGAGGGGGGTCGGGGTCTGGAGGGGGGTCGGGGGTCGGCGGTGTGTGGGGCCGGGGTCTGGAGGGGGGTCGGGGTCTGGAGGGGGGTCGGGGGTCGCCGGTGTGTGGGGCCAGGGTCTGGAGGGGGGTCGGGGGTCGGGGTCTGGAGGGGGGTCGGGGGTCGGCGGTGTGTGGGGCCGGGGTCTGGAGGGGGGCCGGGGTCTGGAGGGGGGTTGGGGGTCGGCGGTGTGTGGGGCCGGGGTCTGGAGGGGGGTCGGGGTCTGGAGGGGGGTCGGGGGCCGGGGTCTGGAGGGGGGTCTGGGGTCGGCGGTGTGTGGGGCCGGGGTCTGGAGGGGGGTCGGGGTCTGGAGGGGGGTCGGGGGCCGGGGTCTGGAGGGGGGTCGGGGGTCGGCGGTGTGTGGGGCCGGGGTCTGGAGGGGGGTCGGGGTCTGGAGGGGGGTCGGGGGTCGCCGGTGTGTGGGGCCAGGGTCTGGAGGGGGGTCGGGGGTCGGGGTCGGTCTGGAGGGGGGTCGGGGGTCGGCGGTGTGTGGGGCCGGGGTCTGGAGGGGGGCCGGGGTCTGGAGGGGGGTTGGGGGTCGGCGGTGTGTGGGGCCGGGGTCTGGAGGGGGGTCGGGGTCTGGAGGGGGGTCGGGGGCCGGGGTCTGGAGGGGGGTCTGGGGTCGGCGGTGTGTGGGGCCGGGGTCTGGAGGGGGGCCGGGGTCTGGAGGGGGGTTGGGGGTCGGCGGTGTGTGGGGCCGGGGTCTGGAGGGGGGTCGGGGTCTGGAGGGGGTCGGGGGTCGCCGGTGTGTGGGGCCAGGGTCTGGAGGGGGTCGGGGGTCGGGGTCTGGAGGGGGGTCGGGGGTCGGCGGTGTGTGGGGCCGGGGTCTGGAGGGGGGTCGGCGGTGTGTGGGGCGGGGTCTGGAGGGGGGTCTGGGGTCGGCGGTGTGTGGGGCGGGGTCTCGAGGGGGGTCGGGGGTCGGCGGTGTGTGGGGCGGGGTCTGGAGGGGGGTCTGGGGTCGGGGGTGTGGGGTCCGGGGTCTGGGGTCGGCGGTGTGAGGTCCGGGGTCTGGCGGGGCCGTGCCTCCCGGGGAGCGGTGGGGGGCGAGCCCGGGCGCGGCTCCTCGGGGGCGCAGGGCGGAGCGGCGGAGGCCCTGGCCCGCCGACGACGCCGAGCCCGCGGCAGCCCCTCACCTGGTGCCGGCCACGCTCTGACCCAGGGGTCGGCGCCCGGGTCTCTCCACCTCCCGGAATGCGGACACGCACGCGCGCGACCCACCCGGGAGCGCCCCCTGCCGTCTCCCCGGCGACTGGCGGGCGGCGCGGGGTGATGACGTCAGGGGCGGACGGAGGCCGGGAGGTGGTGCGGGGCGGCCAGCCCGGCTCTAGGCTTTCCGGAGGCCCCGCGCTCGCCTTGGGACGTCTGCCGAGCTCGAAGGACATTTGCTGGGCGCCATCTGTATGCGCCGGGCGGTGTGGGGACCCGGCGACCAGGAAGGCCTGGCGGGATCCAAGGTCGGGGCCGCGGGGCTGGGAGCGCGGGCGGCGCGGGGCCCAAGTGCCCGGCCGGGGTGGAGGGAGCGGTTGTGCAAAGGCCCGGGGCTCACCTGCCCTCAGTGATTGCTCAGTGGTTGCGCAGTATTGTGATCGATTTAATAGTTGGCGGGGGCAAGAGTGCGGGTGCCGGGGACAGGTAGGTCAACAGGAGAGACCGTTTGAGGATTTCAGACGTTGTCCCATGAGGTCGCCCACTCAGCTGTCACCTAAGGGGAGAAGGATCAGTCCGCATTTAGAGTCAGGGCTGTTGCTGCTGTAACGATGTCCTGCGGGGGGCAGCTCCAAGGCCCCCCGTGAATTGCAGCAGCCCAGACACCAGGCCGTGGGCCAGCATTACCACGTGGTCACCCTGACACCCGAAGAGGTGAAGAGACAGGCTGAGTTCACCCAGCTCGGCAGTGCTCACGTCAGGCCCCTTGGTGGCAGCAGCTGCACCATCTGCAGTAATGTGGGTGCCGCCAGGCAGCATGGGGCCCCGGGGATCTTCCTGGCTGCTCAGGACCGTGGGGTTTGAGGTTGGTGTGCTGACAGCTGTAGATCTCCGGCAACTTACTTCACTCCAACCAGCTTCCAGTTTGCTCACCTGGAACATAAGAGTGCTGGTAACACCTGGGGTTGCAAGCACCATTGACATGGTGTAGCTGCTTAGCGGCCACCTACCCTCAGCGATTGCTCGATGGTTGCACGGTATTGTGATCGATTTAATAGTTGCAGAGTTAAGAAAGGATTCCATAGGTGTTAACGAGGTGCAGTGGGGGTTGGGGGGAGGGTTGGTGACCATCCAGGTTTGGAGTCAGAGAAGGGAATTCCAGCCTGGCACTCGGGAACCATGGGAACTGGCAGTATGGACCTGGGTCTGCAGGAGGAAAGGCTGGGCCAAGGAGCCCGGGGTTTGAACATTCAGAGCTTGAGGACCTCTAGATCATGAGAACGGAGGAGTGTCAGGAAAACTGCCGGATGAGCATGCGGCTCTTCAGAGTCAGGTCTGGGAGCCCTCCATCCATCAGGACAGTTTCAGCAGGTGATGAAGAGTGAGAGTGGCCGGGGCTGAGAGTCTGCAAGCAGCTGCAGGGGAGCAGGAAGGGACTCACAGGGTGGTGTCCTGGCCTGTAGGGAGGGGGTGTGAGGAGTGACAGGACTGCAGTCAGGGCATGGAAATCCAAAAAGCCAAGAGCTGCCCTATAGCTTGCACTTTGAAGCACTTGGACTCTGCCAAGAGCTGTGGCTTACCTTAAAAAAAAAAAAAAATTCTTGTTTTGTTGAGATGTAACTCACCATACGATTCATCCGTCTGAAGTGCACGACTCAGGGCATCTGGATGGCTCAGGCCACGATCCGGGGGTCCTGGATGGAGGCCTCGAATTGGGCTCCCTACACAGTGGGGAGTCTGGTTCTCTCTCCCTCTGCCCCTCCCCCCTGCTCGTGCGCTTGCCCTCTCTCTCTCTCTCTCTCCACCCCCGTCAAATAAATAAATAAAGTCTTTTTAAAAAAATGAAGTGCACAGTCCAGAGTGGGGCAATCAGCAGCACTATTTATTCCCAGAATGTTTTCATCACTCCAGAAGAAATCTTGGCCCTGTTAGGAATCATTCTCCAGCTGCTGGCAGCCACTAGTCCACTTTAACCTCTACATATTTGCCCATGCTGAACATTTCACGTAGGTAGGATCATACAATATGTAATCTTTTGTGTCTGACTTCTCTCAATGCAACACTTTCGAGGTTCATCCAATACTATTTCATTGTATGGATAGCCTACATCTTGTTTATGCATTCATCAGTTGATGGATATGTGGATTGTTTCCATTTTGGGGTGTTAAAAATAATGCCACTGTGAATACTCATGCACAAATTTTTGCATACATATTTATTTCCATTTCTCTTGGGTGTGTACCTGGGAGTGGAATTGTCAGGTCCCGTGGTGACTATTTATTTAAACTTCTGAAGATCCGTCAGACTTTCCCCGAATGACTGCTATTGTGCATTCCCACCAACAAGGCATGAGGACTCCACTCTGTGCACATTCTCATCAATACGTGTTATTGCCGGCCGATTTGATGTGGACCATGGGGTGGTATCTCATGTGGTTTGGATTCGCACTCCCTGATGGCTGTTATTGTGGCACATCTCTTCACGTGCTCGTTGGCCACCTGCATATCTTTGCAGAAGTAGCTATTTGAGGCCTTTAGATCAGGTTATTTGGCTTTATTATTGAGATTCTTCATATAGTCCAGGTCCAGGTCCTTTATCAATATGTGATTTGCAAATATCTTCCATTCTCTGGTTTGCCTTTTCACTCACCCATTGGTGTTCTTTGGAGCAAAAGTTTTTTATTTCGATGATGTTTGATTTACTTTTATTGCATGTGTTTGTGATGCCGTGTCCAGGAAGGATTGGCCTCACCTAAGGTTGTGAAGGTCACTTCTACCTTTTCTTTGTGAAGCTTTAGTGTTAACACTTGTATCTGGTAAGTGTCATGTGTGTGTGTGAAGAGTGGACCCTCATTACTTTGCACATGGACATCCGGGTGCCCAGCCCCATTTGGGAAGACAGTTTCTTCCCCATGACCTTGTCTGGACAGCCTGTCCAAAGGCAGTTGACCTTCCATATTAGGGTTTACTGCTGGACTCTCAGCCCTGTGCTGTCAATCTACACACCTGTCTTCATGTGGCACCATATGTCTTCATTATCGTCCCTTTGTGGCAAGTTTTGAAATCAAGCAGAATGGATTCTCCAGCTTTGTTCTTTTTCAAGCTGGTTTTGTCTTTTCTGGGTTCCTTAAATTTGCATATGAATTTTAGGATCAGCTTTTTAATTCCTGTCCAAAAAAAAAAAAAAAAAAAGAGGGGGGGCAGCTGAGCTTTTGATGAAACCACATTGGCTCTGTAGATGAGTTGGCGAATATTGATATTTTCACAATACTGGGTCCTTCTGACTCAGGAACGAGGGATATTTCTCCATTTATTGAGGTCTCAGGTTTCTTTCAAAAACACTTTGTAGTTTTCAGAATCCAGTATAAGTTCTACACTTCTTCTGCTGAATTTATTTCTCAGTATTTTGTTATTTTTGATGCTGTTGTAAATTGATTTTTTTTCTTCATTTCATTTTTGAGTTGTTTATTGCTAGTGTATAGATATTCAGTAGAGGGGACCTGGGTGGCTCAGTGGTTGAGTGTCTGCCTTCGGCTCAGGGTGTGATCCCAGGGTCCTGGGATCGAGTCCTACATTGGACTCCCTGCAGGGAGCCTGCTTCTCCCTCTCCCTATATCTCTGCCTCTCTCTCTGTGTCTCTCATGAGTAAATAAATAAAATCCTTTTTTTAATTTTTTAATTTTTAAATTTTTAAATTTTTTATTTTTTGGAGTTCCAGTGGGCTTTTAAATAATAAATTAACAAAAACGAAGATTTTATCAACCATTTTTTTCCTGAACCTTATAAACTCAGCAGACTCTGGTCCATATATATGTGTACCTACAACATAACACATCCCAACAAAAACAGAGTCCCACTGGAACATTTGCCAATTAACAGAAAGCCAATTTTCCCTTTCCCCAAATGTTTTCAAAATTTTGAGTCCCCACTGTTCATTTCTCAGTGGAACTGGTCCCTTGTGGCTAGGGACATTGGAATTCTACCCCATTTTTACTAAACAAAAATAATTTTTTTCAAGTTTTAGTTTTGTTTCAAAAAAGGGAAGTGACTTTGTTTTCTCCAGGCACCCCTCCCTCACAACCATTGGTTAAAATACAGAAGCATGTATCTTAATAACCCAGCCCTACTCCCTTGCCCTGCCCAGTACTGTCTACTGGAGAATTTAAACACACTTATGCTGGAATCTGTCAGCTGTGGAGGGGCAGAGTCGAGGTGCTCCCTCTAACCTCATGAACTGTTGTAACCTTTGGACACTTAACTCTTTACCCCAAAGATGAGCTTTTAGACCAGAGACTTTTTTGGGAGTTTTAAAAAACATAACTTTAAGGATATAAAGTACAACTATAAGCTCACCAAAGTCCACTTAATTTCACCAAAACATTGACGGACTTCAGCTCCCATGAAGCCAAAATTTTGCTTGACAAAAGTATTTTGTCAGAAAATGATTCCACAGTAACAATTTTTAAGATACACAGAACACTGAAAAAAGTAGCAAATCAAAATAAATGGCTTAATTCCCAAAAATCATTTCATCTTTTTGTACTCATCTAGAAGGTCAGGAGTGTGGCTAAACGCCATTTCTGATGAGGTTATGAGTTTCCAAAGTGTTTCTAAATCCTTAGTGCAGACACCCTCCCTTTTGGGGCATAGTAACCTCCCTCTTACCCCTATTAAAAAAAAAAAAAGAGAAGAAAAGAAAAAAAAAAAAACAAATGAAACCAAGTGATCAGAATGAGATGTTTTGATTCCAACAAATTTACACTCAAGGCTTTGTGTTGAGTTGTCTGGTTCTAACTCAAGCATGATGGTATCAAACACAAAGCACACACAGCAAAGGAAAGATGCTCCCATCTCATTCTGAAAACAAATACTGATAACCAATTCCTCCCCCCGCCCCCTAGCCATTGGGGCCCACCCATATTATGATGCTGGGGCCAACGTGAAAATAATTGAGAAATATATTTGGATTTGCTTCTCCCTTAGATTATTCTGTTCCCAAGGGAAAGACAAGAAAGTTTCTCCATTGGAATGTATGGGAAGAGAAAAACAAAACACAGGCCCAGAGGCAGCAAGGTGTGTAACAGTCCATAACCCATTACACAACTACAACCACAAGCAAAACCGCGAGTTGGACATAATTTAAATATTAAAAATAGGAAACAGTTTCATCCAAATGAATCACTGGAAAAAATATTACCATTACTGAAAACAGACACCCAATAGTGGAAAGAACACAA